GATTACCTAGAAAATCAATATACCTTCTTTTATGGTAAACAAGGGTTCTTTCTTCCTTCAATTTTATTCTTGCATCCATCAATAAAAAAAATATATAATAACCGTAATCAAATTAGGAATCTGCAAATGGATGATGAATGTACTACTATCTGCTGTGATGCTGTGGTACATAGTATTGGTTCTCATGTATATCAGTATATGCAGACGGTAAATATACTTGAAAATAGAAAAATTTCATTGATTATTTTATTAGAGAAAGTGAAATGATCTTTTTTTATTTTATAAAGACCAAGATGAAAAAATGAGAAAGGTAATTATTCTGAGCAACTCAAAAGTAGTCATCGGCCCTCACGAGAAGGAACACGATGTACTAGGTTGGAGAATAGAGAAGTTGTTTGTTCTTTGATGTATGTTGTATTAAATGGATCCCTTGAGTTCATGATCTTGTAAAATGGGCTCTGATATATTAGATTTAAAGGCTCAGTCCCTTCTTTGTATATAAAAGCCCGATCCAATAGATTCTCTTATATAATTTGCATTAAAAAAAAATATATTTCTTTAATATAATTTATGGATGGCTTAAGATTGCTTTATATAATAAACCTTCCCAACTCAAAAAGCGTCGACCTGCGGTGTCACACGTGTAGAACATAAAAAGCGTGTGAGTCGTCGCCCATGAACTATAGTCAGATAAGGTGTTATCATTTCACTTCTTGGTGAATCCTGATCAGTGATCGGTGTCACCATGGCCTCTCAACTTCTTCCTCAGGTCTCTCACATTTACTTATACAGGACTTCTAATCTTCTATATATTTTTATGATGTATTGTATATAGCTTTTTCTTCTTTTTTTTAGAGATTGCAACTGTTTCGAGAGAGTTTATGGATGCTTTGTTTTGTACAGGCACTGCATCTTATCCCAAGAAACCCTTCCCTTCCTTCAAAGAAGCTAGAGTTGTCCGCTTTTACCTCTCGTAGCCGCTTAGTTGCTTCTAAGGTTTCGGCTTCTAGGGCTTCAGTGACTCTACTGGCATCTAAGTTCCCCTTCTGTATACATGCAAAAACAGCGAGAGATGTTGTCGTGAGAGCAGAGTCCAGTTCGGAAAGTGAAGTCGAAGCGACTGAGGATAATGTTGAAGAAACGGAAGTCGAAGGAGGCGCTGAATTAGAAATAGGAGCGGAGGCAGCTGAGGTGAATAGCGAAGAGGAAGTAAAGGAGCCAAGGAAATCTAGGACTAGGCTTGGGGAGATAATGGGGGTAATCCTTTGATTTTGTTCGGTTTAATTATGTCAATGCTTTCTTGGCTGCTTTTAGCGAAGGGAAGAGTTCGAATTTCCCTGCGTTTAGAAGTAAATACAAGTTTTTTTCCTGGACCTAGAAGTTGCTCTGTTCGTCTTTACTTAGGCTATGTTTGGAACAACTCATGATTTTTTGCCAATCTATTTGGCAATAAATACTTTTTAAAGCAGCGGATGTTGAACTTCTATTTTAAATTAGAAAAATCGATCTCTTAGGATGTGTTTTAGAACAAATTCAGATTCTACTAGGAATTCATTTGTACATTCACACTTCACTTTTGTTAGGAGAACTGCAAAGTCTATTAGAATCAGCTAGATTTTCATGTGCCACTCTAACAATACATTTCAATTTCCATCAAATTACAAAATTTGGAATTCATTGTTTCAATTACTTGTGAAATTTATCAACTGAATTTTGGTCATTATCATCAATTTTCCAGTTGAAATAAGTATAAATTTGCAATTGAGTTCCACACAAGTCTTGTATTGTTCTAAATATATACTTTAAAGTAGAATTAGAAACTGCATTCTAAATTTTATAAAAAAATTGTTTTGTTCCAAATACACCGTTGGTAACTTCAATCTCGAGGATTCCTGTGGTTGCTATCAAAAGTTGGGGAGGAGTGTCATCCGGGATAATAATATCAAAACTTCCATTTTAGGAAGCCTAATATAACTTTATGTTTTGTTTGGAAACAATTGAAAGCATGACAGTTGGGTAATTTGCATTTTGTTTCTTTTGTATTGTATTCTCTGATGAATGAGGTTGTGGTATGCGATACATCAGTAGAAGTAGATTTAGGTGCATAGTAATTTTCATCTGCTTTTGTTTACAAGTATGAATATCTTAGATGGATGTTGACCTCATGTATTTATTCTGAGGACAAACATTTGCTGTTGATTGAGTAGATATTGAACAAAAGAGCAATTGAGGCATCAGAGAGCGTACGACCTATTCCAGATATTAGAACCGGTGATATTGTGGAGATTAAATTGGTAATTATGGTTATAAGTCATTTGATTATGTTGTTATTATGTTTCCTAGTGAAACCTTTGAGATGTTGTTTGTGGTTAACTTACAGGAGGTTCCTGAAAATAGGCGGAGATTGTCCATCTACAAAGGTATTGTTATGTCAAAACAGAATGCTGGTGTCCACACTACCATACGGATTCGGAGAATCATTGCTGGTATTGGTGTTGAGATTGTATTTCCTCTGTGAGTATTTTCTTTTCCTGTTGTATCAAAGACTATTCGACAGTATGTCTGTTTAGTCTGCAGGCTAGTAGTATATTGACTCTAAACAGAGCAGAATGACATAAATTAACGGTAGCCATGAACTTTATATAAATAGATATAGATGAACTTATAGAAAACTTGGAATTTGGGAAATTTGATATGTTAGTTATCTTTCATGCCTATTTGAGGTTTTGTATTGAGTTGCTTTTATGTAGTATACTCTGTACTGATAAATAATAATATTAATCTGTTTGGACATAGGTGAAAGTAGAGTGTTCAATCATCCAGGTGATTGTATTTCGTCATAAGTTACTCCGAATGATGAGCTTCATATTTAAAATTGAGGGAACTTATGTTGTCAAACATAGATATGCTCAATTAAATGAGAACTACAGACACTAATAGACCACTCTGGATAAGATGATAGGGGCTTGTTTCCAATGTTCTGTGAAAAAAATGTAAGCATGCAATTTACATTGGTACAATACATGTCCTCAAGAATCAATCAAGCGGTTGAATAGTGTCGCTAAATTCAGCAAATTCCCTCTAATTAACTTTGAAAAAAGTGAAATGGACTAAATCATATTAATCAGAAATTTCAGAGGTGGATTGCACTTCATTGTAGAAGTGGTGTTCCTACTTTTACATGCCCTACTTGGTAGTTTTCTTATATTTCGTAGTATATGACCTACTGTCATGAGCTTAATGGGTTCTTACATTTTGTGAGCATCCTGTACAGCTGAATAGTTGTGTTTTTACATTCTTACTCGACTGTCTTTGTTTTATTTAAGGCATGCATGATATAGGTTGAATAATTTGGGAAGTTTGTTTTGATAGTTAATCCCGCCTGATAATAACTGTTTTTAAGGTTAACGACTGGATTTAGGATGCTGGTCCTGATGTGCCGGTTAAAAGTTTAAATGATAATATCTAAAGAAGCATCATTGAGATTTCTTTTTAACTCTTGGTTTTCCTGGTTCCATATGAAAAATCTAAATGATGGAAAAGCTGAAATTGATTTGGCTTTATCTTTTGTTGCAACAGTTATTCACCAAACATTAAGGAGATAAAAGTAGTCAGCCACAGGAAAGTCAGGAGGGCACGGCTGTACTATCTTAGAGAAAAGCTTCCCAGGCTCTCCACCTTCAAATGAAAAAGTACCAAGCTTTATCTTTTTTCAGTCAGTTTCACTTCACCTCAAGGCAATGTCTTCAAGGTTGAGATATTGTAAGATTATACTTCCCTCCCATCAATTTTTGCTCCTTTTTTCTTTCCTTCCAGTGAAATGAGTACTTTTATTGTTTGCTTACATTTGCAAAAGGAAATTCAAATCAGTTTCTGGGTATGCTAACTATTGCCGGCTGTCTGTCCATCAATGTAACCCCATAAGTCTTTCATCTTTCCTTTTTCAAGGCTGAATGGCATCAAGTCTGTTTCTTCAAATTTGATTGCTTGATGCTTTATTGGATTTTGACACCTCATTTTTGTTGGATCCGGACCAAAAAAAAATTGGACTGGACCAATGAATTCAATTGAAACTGGATAAGTCCACGTACGGGGGGGGCGGTTCTTGGTTCAGGAGATTAGGACTGAATACTTTAATCCGGACGAAATAAGTTTAGTAGATATCTCTAATAAAAGGGAAAAGAACGAAATAAAAAAAAAAAAAAAAATTAAAACTAAATTACGTACATATATGTATATGTGTGTAAATAACCGTATATATTCTATTATTTTATTATTTATGCATTTAATAATTTCTAAAATTAGAAATATATTTTTGAAAAAATAAGAAAAAGGGGATTGGTCTATTTTGGGCAGGACCGCTCTACGTATGTGTTGTAGTTCATAATTATTAGGACCGAAGTGCAATTTAAAAAATAGTATGGTATGTATATTTTTTTAAAATAAAAGACTAAATATGAGAAAATTGTTTCCATCCGTATATTAATATTTTAATTGAAGTATTTGTTGCATCAAACATATTTATTAAAGAGGCAATTATTGCATCTTAGCAAATATTTGGTACATATAAATGTTTTTGTGTTTTTTTTTTTTTTTTGTTTTTGTTTTTAAAATTTATATTTATTTTATTCAATAAATCAATTATACAATCAAGATAATTATACTGAAAGTAGTGACAAATTAGGAAATTTTAAAATATTATTTTTATTTTTTAAAAAAATTAATTTTTATCAATGTTTTGGTTGTAACTTTCTTAAACAAATACAACCCTATATGTGAATTTAGAGCTAGCAAAAGATAGTAAAATAAATACTTGGTCAGTTAGTTGCCAGAAGATTCAAACTTTATTATGTAAAGCAAAAAAAAAAAAGTGTGCTTGCAGTCAACCTCTAATTCAGCTATTTGACATTTGTGAGGATGCTCCTCCTCCTCATCATTATTATTTTAGTTTCTTTTCTCAAAGACAAATAATCTTTTAAGGGAAGAGTATTAATTTAAAAGAAATGATAACTAACTTGTTCAGTTGAAATAAGTGAATAATTAATTTTAACGGTTGAATATATCTAATAAGTATAAAAACTTTATACACTATTGTATTAGTTAGTCTTTTTCTATTTAAGTTAAAACTATTTTGTTTTTTTGTTCTACTTTTTAGTTTTACACTTTTATATTTTTACCAAATTTATTTTTTATTTTAATTGTCGTTCAATAATCGTTAATTTTTGAATACGTGACTGACAACGTATCAAAAAATAAAATATATAAGTGATAACATGACATCCACATCAAATTAACATATTAAAAAGTTAATTGATTCATGAAAATTTTTAAATATATATATTTTTTTAAATATCATTCTTAATGCTTCGAACTTCCTCCTGCAACTACACTTAGTCCCCTTCTTCCTCGAGCTTAAAGAAATCTCAAATTTTTAGCACAGGTTCATTATTTTTTCTTACTTTTCAAAAAACTCTCTTTTGCAAAATTGAATCTTCTAAAAGTTTAAATTTAGGAATTGGCTTTGTTTTTCCCTTTTTGCTATTAGTTTAGGTAATTAACAAAAAAAATTGACAAGTTATTTCTTTTAGATTTCGACAAGTTTGGAAAATGAGATTAGAAAAGCACATCGATAACTTTACCTATTTTTATTCACTTAAACTCAATGAACGAAGACAAAAGAGCTGTAATATTTATAATATTAATGCTGTTAATAATATAGATATTGTCGAAACTCTAATTATAAGTCAACAGGTCAACACACCCACGCTCACTAGAGAGTCAATGGTAGGAGTGAAGAATCGAGCTTGATTATACATGGATGGTTAGGTAAGTGATAAGACGACTCCACTTATGAGTCATTCAGTTACAACTCTATCTTGTATGATTTTAGCTAATATTTAGTACATATAAATAAAAAAATGGGGCAAACAAGAGAATTGAATATAAAAAGTAAAAATTTAAAAGTCCAGTACTCAAATAGAAAAAAAAAAATAGTACATAGATTTAAATTAAAAAAAACTAACAACAATAAGGGTTAATATAGTAATTTTGTCATATTTAATGATAAAATGAAGTAACTATGCAATAAATTGTGAAGAATTAAATTATAAGAATTTATATCTTCTTATGTGTCTCTCTTCTCTATGTTTGAGGGTGTTGTGTTAAACCAAGAGGTCGACCAAATAAAAAATAATGAACAGGTTAGAATGCTTGCTCTAGGATTCTTTTGATCGAGCAATCTAATCCATATTGATACAAGTCTAATAGAATTAAAGAGAAATTAATTAAATAAATTATGTTAAAAATAAAACGAAATACAAACTATTTAAAAATTAAAATCTAATAAAAAAAAAACTCAACATTCAGACTTATTGGGCATAAAGAAGAAAGTGAAAGAGAAAATAAAAGCTACATCGCCTTTTCATAAGACTGTATCTAGTTGTTCGTTCTAGTCTCCATCGAGCATCTTCGTCCTTATTTCACACCCTTCGTCTGGTGAACGAAACGTGGATAATTTTTTTCTTTTTTTTAATTAATTATTTATTACGAGTCAATTAAGAATCATATTTTTAAAAAATAATATAAATATTAATATAAAAAAGATTAAAAAAAATATTTATACGAATATAAAAAGTAAATAAATAAATAAAATAAATAATTTGATATTAAGTCAACACGTTTATCAAATTTAATGTTGTTTATAAGAAGTAGGTTTTATTAGACTGGACATGGGAAGATCCATGTTGTTTAGAGTAACAACAGAGCATTACTAACAAGATTTCTCTTATAATTACTCTTTGGGTCCCTCCACATGAAATGCCCTAATCTGTTTGTTTGCTCGTTCTGAGGGGTTTGGTCCCTCTGACAATGATTTCCAAATATATTTTCAAGTTAATAAATTACTTCTTTTTTTTTTTTTTAATAAAAAGTTTTCCTTTTTATTCTAATAAATTAAAAAAAAAAAATAGAAAAAGAAAAAGCTTTCCTTAATGTATAGTTTTTAACTAACAATCATTGAACTCGCCAAGTTAAAGCTTTCCTTTTTCTTCATATCATAAATTTAGCCTTGAGGGACAGGATTGAGAAAATATAATTATATATATATATATAATTATATAAAGGAGCTAAAAGGCAAGGAAAAAAAAGAAAAAAAAAAGAAAGAGAATCTAGATTAGATACCACTTTGGGTCTCGCACACACACACATATATACATACAGACATACATACTTACATTATATTTATCAAGGAACATAATACATAAAATAATTTAGAAAATTAAATAGTCTTTGAATATACTAAAATAGTTTTTAAAAAGTAATGCAATTTCTTTTAGCCCACCAAGGATTATTATATCTTCTTTTTTAAATTTCTTTTTGTCAAAAAAAAAAAAAAAAAAAAAAGTTTTTCTAAAGCAAAAAATGTTAAATTTTAATATTAATAATTTTATTAAATTTAACATAATTAAAAAAGTGATAAATACACGTCGGACGGTGTTTGTTCACACTGACCGAGATTGAGGGCCACGTTTGTGGGTCCCAAAGCCAGTCTGTCCTTCTTCTTTTTTGCTCCTCCACTTTTGAATCAGTCCCTCTGTTCGCCACGTGTCATCCTCTTCCCTCCTATTTCTCTCTCTCTCTCTCTCTCTCTCTCTCTCTCTCTCTCCCTGATTCAATGAAGACTCCGAGCTCGGCCCCTGCTCGAGAAGCTCGTTCAGACCAACCCAGAGTGGAAACACCGATTTTTTTTGCCGGAGGAATTTTCGGGCCATTACCAATTTTTATGTTCCTTTCTGTTCGTACCACCACATGTTTGTTTCTATTTTATTTTACTTTATTTATTACTATTTTTATAATTTCTCACTGGTCGCTCTCTATCCATTTTCCTTGGTGCTTACTATAATTGAATTTTTCGTTTCCGAAGTCTATCTCTGACAAAAAGTTTTTTTTCCTGGTTGTAAGGGTAGAAGAAACTGTTGGGTCTCCGTCTTTCTTCTTTATAGATTTGTATTTCGTGGTTTGATTGCCCGATTGTGAGTGAAAGTGATTGATTTTCTTCAACTGGTGGTGGTGCTCGGTGTTCGTCGTTGTTCCGGTGGGTCCAGTCATGACTGCTGGTGCTGGTAATCAGTTGATCACTGTTCAACCCGATGAGCTCAAGTTCATCTGTATGCATCCTTCTCTTTTTCTCTCTTTTTCTATCTCTCTCTCTCTCTCTCTCTCTCCCTCGCTTTATGTATGTGTGTACATATCTGGTATTTTGTTTTCTTTGTTGCCACTGTTAGAGAGAGCTTTTGAATTTTGTAGGAAATCTTATGCTGCTTCATCTGTTTAAAACTTTGAAAATCTGGATTGGCCATAGGTAATGCTACCTTAATGTTGAGACAATGTTTCGTGTTAAAAAATAAATGCTTGGTTGTTGGAATGTTGGAGGCATATGAGAAAAATTGACAGAGGTTGCTGGTGGCTTAGGGAATTAGTCTCAGTGCTTGATTAACAATAGGGTTGTCGCTCGTATAATATTGTGTGAGAAATGAAAAGACTTGGGTTTATTATTGCATCTGAAATAACTTATGAAAAGGAGAAGGAAGTTTCTAAAATTTTTTGGTTGACATTTGTCATTTGTTGATGATAAAATACTGAATCGATATTGAAATTGTTGAATGCTTGAGCTGTTCTGATGAAATAGTTGTGTGAGGAGAGGTTTTCTTTTATGAAAGGCCCCTTTATATGCCTGCTGATGATTATGGTCGACATATTAGCTTGAGGGTGTCATGAGGAATTTTTTATTGTCTGGTGTAGAGAGGCTAGGAGAGATCACCCAGTGAATTGGGAGGTATGTTGCAAGTTTAGAAATTTTGGAGGTTTGGACATTGGGAATTTAAAATCGGGGAATTTGCTAATATTGGTTAAATGGCTGTGACGCTTCCCACAGGAACCTAATCCAGTTTCCTCTACTTTTTCACCTTTCCTCCTGCCACAGGGTATTGATAGACTATTTTTTTTTTTTTCTTTTTAATGGTATTGTGAATAAGAATTTTTCATTTCTTTCGGGGCCTGAACAATAGCGACCAAGGAACTCATTTCCATGTTAAACCTTTCAAACTCTTTTTAGCTTTCTCAACAACCTGACTGCAGGATATGGACTCTTGACTCATCTGGATTATATACCTGCAAATCTTTTTTTAATCACCTAACCAAAAACCCTGATTCTTACCACGGCATGGTTACCAAGATTTTCTGGCATGTTAAGGTTCCTTCATAGTTGAAGGTATTCACTTGGACTGCAATTCTAAATTGGTTAAACATTACCAAGCTGCTGCAAATTCTTAGACCTAGTCGAGTTTTGTCTCCTAAAATTTGTGTGATGTGATATAGGAGCGAAACACATAACCACCTATTTCTCCACTGTGAGATGGCGTGGAAACTATAGTGTAAGTTGTTTGACATTTTCAATTTGGCTTGGGTTGCTCCCCTTTCACTGGAATCTTTTTTAAGTCCAGAATTAGTGGATTTGGGATTAAGGCCAAGGCTAGACCTTTATGGGAAGGTGGGCTCTTTGTTGGGTTTTAACCAAGTTGGTTGGAAAGAAATCATCGCATCGGCAGTTGTTCTTTCCAGATCCGATCTTGTGGGAGAAGACAACTTTTTTGGCTCCCCTTTAGGCTGTTAAGGCTCATGGGAATTACTCGGATATGTATTTATTTGTTTTAAATAGGAATTGGAATATCATGGTTATGTGATATGATATCAGTTTTTTCCTTCTAATTGTTTTATATTGTTTTGTTATGTTACTTTGTCATTGTTTCCTTGGTTGGATAACTTATCCACCAATTTCTTTGTACTCTCCTTTCTCTCGTAATAATACTTGTTTGTTTATGAAAAAATAAATGTTGATATTATTCTTGTTATTTGGTATGGCAATGCTGACATACAGTTTCAATACTTTTTTTTTTTAATAAAAATGCTGAAGAATTTGATAATAAGAAATAACTCCCCTTTTTTATTCTTATTTTATTCATCGATGATCCGCAACATTTTATAGGCAAAAGGAGGAAAAAAACAAAAAAAAGAAAATACTGAAAGTAATTCTACACTCCCCCTCAATCTAAGTTAAATAAATGTTTAGTAAGCCTAAATTGGATATCAATTTGTTGAATAGTCTTTTGGGAAGTGCCTTTGTTAAAATATCTGCTGTTTGCTAATTAATAGGAACGTGGAGTATTGTAATGGTTTGATTTTCAATCTTCTCCCTGATGAAGTGCCTATCTATTTCCACGTGTTTAATTCGATCATGATATACAGGATTTTTAGGTATGCTGATTGTTGCTTTATTGTCGCACCATACTTTCATTGGAGTGGTAACCAAGAATTTCATTTCCATTAGAACTCTTTTTAACCAAATTCCCTCATATATTCCATGAGCAAGTGACCGAAATTCAGTTTTTGCACTACTTCGTGACACAAAAGATTGTTTTTTGCTCCACCAAGTGACTAAGTTTCCTCAAATGTAAGTACAGTACCCAAACGTAGATCGTCTGTCAGTTATAGAACCTGCCCAATCAGTATCTGTGTAGATTTCAATATTTCTGTTCATTGTTTTTTGGAAAAATAATCTTTGTCCTGGAGTTTTATTAAGATATCTTAAGATCCGATATATCATATTCATATGAACATCAGTAGGTTGGTTCATGAATTGACTTGCAGTACTCACAGCAAAACTGATGTCAGGTCTAATATGAGCAAGATAGATAAGTTTGCCCACAAGTCTCTGATATCTTTCTTTATCAATTGACTTGCCATTTTTAAATCCAATTTTTGTAGTCGTTTTCATGCGAGTTTCTGCTGGTTTACACCCGAGCATCCCTGTTTCTTTCAGCAAGTCAAGAACATATTTTCGTTGTGACACAGATATCTCCTTTTTAGAACGAGCAAATTCTATTCCCAGAAAATACCTGAGTGCTCTAAGATCTTTTATCTCAAATTTCGTGGCGAGAAAAACTTTTGAGTTTTTAAATTTCCTCTATGTTATAATATGTTAAAATAATATCATCAATATAGACAATTAGAATAGCTTTCTTAACAAAGGTACTGTTCTTGACAAACAAAGTATGATCAGATTGACATTGCTCATAGCCCATATGTTTAACTGCTTTGGTAAATCTGTCAAACAAAGCTCTCGGAGATTGTTTTAGACCATAAAGTGCTTTTTTGAGTTTGCATACCTTGTGAGTTTCAAATGTGGTCTCAAGGCTTGGAGGAACTTTCATATATACCTTTTCTTCTGAATCTCCACTAAGAAATGCAATCTTTACATCAAGTTGACAGAAAGGCCAATCAAGATTAGAGGCAAGAGAGAGTAATATCCGGATAGTGTTGTGCTTAGTCACTGGGTCGAATGTCTCCTGATAGTCTATCCCGTAGGACTGAGTGAAGTTTTTAGTTACAAGACAAGCTTTGTACCGATTCACACTTCCATCAGGATTGTGTTTTACAGTAAATACCCATTTGCACCCAACTTCATGTTTTCCTGGTGGAAGTTCTATCAGTTCCCAAGTCTTGTTCTTTTCAAGGGGGCTTAATCTTTTCTTAAATAACACCTCTTCGCATTGGCAATGCAAGGGCTTCATGAATGGTTTTAGGTTCAGTGGGGCTGCCATCAAGTTTACTTACATATGCATGATACTTTGAATACAAGTTGCTGAATGAAATGTAATCCTATATAGAGTGTTTACTACAAGATCGAGTTCCTTTCTGCAAAACAATAGGTAACTTAGTATCATGATCAGTAGTGGTAACAGTGTCAGAAATTGTATCTTACTACTTGGAACTGGAATAAACTCATGGCAATATGTAGTTGGTTCAGAATCTTTATTAACTGAAGTTTTGTGTCTCCTAGCATAGACACGTAACTTTTTGTTGATAGTAGTAAGTATAGGTTCAGATTGAGACTTTTTGATACTGGTTTCAGAAAAATTTGATGAGAACTTGGGAATAGTGAGGGGAGAAAAGGTGAGAGGTGGTGTACTTATATCCCATACTTGATATTCCTGATTAGGACTCTC